GGTTGGTTGGGGGGGGGGGGTTAAATCAAGTTTCTATCATTTGTAGTCTTGTTAGGTGAAGTTGTTCTATAAAAATTTGGAAGAAAAGATTTGAATTTATTGAGATGAAATTTTGTCATACTATGGGAATTTCAATAATTCTTAAATAAAAATTGTCCAATGTCCTTTTAACAACTATTTGACCGTGAATATTTCAAAATTTTATTTTTAAATATCTGTTAGCCTTAGATTTTAGATTTTGATTACAATAGGGGTCATTTGGTTTGATGTAAATAATACGATGAATGCTATAACAAAACTGATGACAAAAGAGGAAAATTTGGGGACATTAGAATTACCTTCTGAAGAAATTTGCTTAATATCCAGAAACAGCTCAGCAACAATCACATAGGTAAGGATTATTTAGATAAATCAAAAAAGGGAAAATTGTATATAATAGCAAACTATTAATTCAAATTAAATGCTATAAATATAGTTTGATTTAATTGTACCTCATAGCAAACTGTGGTTATTTCGCCTCTCTCCTGGTGAATCTCGCTCACCATGTTGGAATTGAAATCAAGAAAGTCAGTGAAGAGGAGAAAGAAGCTAAGAAAGCTCAAGTTCTGACTACTGGAAAGCTTCTCAATCAAACGAAATTCAGAGACAATATTGGGTCTATATCTCAGCTGGTCCAAATGCAAAACTTTCAACCAAAAGTTAATGTCTCAGCCCAACAACAAATGAAGGCCCAAAATTCAATTCCAGACAGCCTTATTTGAGAGATGATTTGGACAAATAAATGAGGACAAATGGATGAAAATTAGGCAAGAAATATGCAGATTCCTATGTAACGGATTTGTGCATTTCTCGTACGAAATAGTACACACAGCTGTATATTTTTGTAGTGTAGTGATAGCCAATTAGAATTCATACACGTAGAGGAGTTATTTTGTTTTCTTCTTCTAGATATTTTGTATATATACACCATTGATAAATGAATGAAAGGCAAGAAAAAGTTTTCCTATTCTAGTCTCTGAATTTCCACACGCCACTCTCGTTCTCTCCCTCGCCTCTCTCGTTTTTTATACAAACGCAAGTGTATAAAGTGCGTTTATGTTTGTATAAAGCGAGAGAAAATTATATATATACATATATTTTCGTTCCCCTCTCCCAGATCTCGCTCGCCACTCTCCCAGATCTCGCTCTCTCACTCGCCTCTCTCACTTTATACAAAAACGCAAATGTATAAAATGCGTGAAAAATGTATATATACATATATTTTCGTTCCCCTCTCCCAGATCTCGCTCGCCACTCTCCCAGATCTCGCTCTCTCACTCGCCTCTCTCACTTTATACAAAAACGCAAATGTATAAAATGCGTGAAAAATGTATATATACATATATTTTCGTTCCCCTCTCCCAGATCTCGCTCGCCACTCTCCCAGATCTCGCTCTCTCACTCGCCTCTCTCACTTTATACAAAAACGCAAATGTATAAAATGCGTGAAAAATGTATATATACATATATTTTCGTTCCCCTCCCTCCCCTCTTCCAGATCTCGCTCTCTCACTCGTCTCTATTAATCTTTTTGTATATGTATACCAAAGCAGATTATACAACTGCTTTCTTTTGTATATGTATAGCGAAATATACATATATATTTGCTATGGAGCGCAATTATGCAAACTTTGTTATAACATACAAATATGAATTTTGTGTTTATTATATGTGAAAGTTGCTCATCAAAAAATTTGT